CCATATAAGATCGAACTTATTTCATATAGAAAAATTGGCTCAATAAATCAAATAAATAATTTTTGTATTTTAACGTAGTATAGTGGCATTGTTGTAATAATTCCATTCTTCTAGAGGCTGTGATCGTTGGCATGGAAGTTAGGTTGGTGACAACGAGCGTATTTTTAAAAAGAGAAAGAGATATTTTTATAGAGAGAGTTATTTTTTTTTGGGAATTAAGAATTTTTTTTTATTTTTAGGCATTTTAAAAGTAATTTCAATTTTATGGAGAGGGTGGGCCCATGGAGGCGACAAAGTAGGGCCGATGCTGCCCACGTGGCAGACAGCATCATACAGGGTGCCACGTGGCCCACGTTTAAGTAAGGGCAACCATCACATGGGTCCAGGCTCCTTTGATGCCATTGCTAGATTTGCCTTCCTACTTAATAATTTTCAATGAAATTAAACTAAATGAGTATTATGACTTATGAGCACGTATGCTATGCTCTTGGGACCATGGTTTATTTTTACTCCTTTAATCAGAGCGGGATGATCTTTTTTCAATCTAAAATTTTGATGGCAGTTTAGAATCACGATTATTTTAATAAAACAAAAAACAAAAAAAAAAAGAAATTTGAGTTTTTTAAAATTGGATGGCCTTTATTCATTCTCAATAAATTTTTTTTTTCAAATGCATAAAGAATGCAATTAGAAAAATATTTTTTTTATTAAGGTTAATATATAGGTTGAAGACGTTACATCTGTAAAATTTAGAATCCAAAACTAAATCTAGATGGGGTTTTATTATCCGAGGGAGTAAATGTACAATTTACTCACCTAGGAGTATAATATCTTTTGGCAACTATTATTGTGAATCATGACTAAACACCATCACGTGATGCCATGAGGCGTTGAAATTAAAGGAAATTTCGTCTTATCCTCTAATGATAGGATGGATAACTAAAAAAACTGAACTTTTTTTTTTGAAAATATCAAATAAGACTACCATTTTATTTTTAACATAAACCCCTATATGTTTCTTTAAGTCATGTTAATGAACATAACATATCAGAAAAATACAAAAAACCTCTAGAAAACAGAAACATCTGTATAAAAAAAACCTCGACAAAACAAAAACATCTCTATAAAAGAATCAACACTCGCTCTCTCTCTCTTAAATGTTGTGACATCCTAAGAGAGAAAAATAAGGGATATAAATTTCCCTTTAAAAATGTAGGAAATATTTTTGTCTTTTTTAAAAAATGTTTTTGACATTTTTTTTTTCTTTTTTTAGAGATTTTTACCATTTTTTTTTATTAATTTTTGGGAGATGCCCAAGAAAACTATAAAGGCATGTGGAAGTTTTGCTAACCAAAAAGTGAAAAAGTGGCGATTTTATTTTATATTTCCAAAAATTTTTTTTTTTTTTTTTAATAGTGGTAGTACCCTCGCACTTTAGTCACCACATTGTGGTTTTCATCCCACCGACACTACACCACTAATACCTCCAAAAAATTAATTCTTAACCTATTTGAAAAATACGGGTAAGGGCCTTTCTTCCCCACTCCATTACCCCCCAAAAAAAAAAAAAAAAGACTTAATTTCCCTTGAAATAATAACACGAAATAATTTGACAACTTGGAGCACAAAGCAGTCGTACTAAGCTCCAAAGGAAAACATCACAATTGGCGTTGCTTCCTTTTAATGAATGAAATAAAAGTGTGCATTGGGTAATGGGTGAGGTTTTGTGTGAGGCATCAACTTAAGTAAGGGGCACCTCTAAACTATGTTGAAAGATTCAGTTCTAGCATCGAAAAAGCATAAAAACCTAATATCACCCTTAATTTTTAAATTTAAAGCTTTAAAAATGACACTGATCAAGCAGATTTATAAATAATTAAAAACATTGAAATTAGACAATGTAGATAATGCGTAATAAGATACATTCTTTTCATGAATTGAAATCCTCTTTTTTTTATCCTTACATTTCGATGTCAAAATGATCGATTTATGGGTTTCCCGGCGTTGGCATATCCTTTTTCGATGAATTTTTGAGGCACAACATTATAAGCATGACACCTTATAAAAACTATTCCCTTTTGATTACTTTTCCATCCTAATGCTGGTTAGATAACTACAAAATTAAAAAAAAATTCAAACATGTGGGGGGGGGGGGGTGAGGGGGAATTTCCCTTTGATTAAGTGTAACAATAAAAGACCTTGGGTCCATCTGTTATTTTGTAATCTCATTGTAATCATTTTTCATCAATAAAATTTCATGCTCTTGTCAAAAATAACCAAATAAATAAAAAGAAAAGATGAAAGGTCAAATAAGAAATGGATGGGTAGTTTCCTAGTTCCTGTGAGACATGGAAATGGTGAAAGTTGATGTTTTGAGATGGCTGGCATTTTCCTGGATCCCCCTTTTCTTAACAGCATAATAAATAAATAGATTAAAAAATATAACTTTTATAATAATAATAAAAATAATAGAAGCAGCTCAGTTTAGGCTGCCTTGCTTGCTTGGAACCGCTACTATTCCCTATACAAAACGCGCTTTGTTCTTCAATCTTCATGCTTATCACCTCAATAACTCTTTTCTTCAATTTTTAATGCATATTTATTCACTTCTTGTACTTGAGAACTACTTAACCTCCATATAAATACAACAATTTTTTTTTTTACTCTCTCTCTTCAATTGTCTCTCTTTCTATCTCCAATACCTATCTTTTTTATTTAAGCCAATTTTTCAAAACCCCAATTGGTGTGATTGATCGTCCACCCCACAAATCTTTGTTGGATCTCTAGATTGCCGATTTGGACGGGTTTGAATTAGCGATACAAGAAAAAAAAAAATTAAAAAATTATTAAATAAAAAGGATAAAAAAAAATATGAAAAGAGGGGTTTAAGGGGGATCGTGCCAGTACCTATAGCTCTCTTGAACCGCTTCGGTCCCACCGATTCGAAGTCCAAATCACCAATTTCCTAGCCGGATACATTAGTTTTGAAACACTCATTCACACCTATAGCAAAAGGATATAAATCATAGTGTGTGGTTTGTATAAGGTTGAGGCCCTAAACAATCAAAGTAAGGCGCACCTTCAAATAGCGTTGAAAGATGTCATTTCAGTACTGAAGACCTTTATGATGGTCAGAAAGTTTATTTTTATCTCTAATTATAAAATTTAAAGGTTAAAAAATAGTATAGATCAAGCAGATCTATAAACACTTAAAAATATTGTAAATTGATGGTCTAGATAATGCATTACAAAATGTACTACTTCAAAACCTTGAAGTTTATTTTTTTTTACATCCATGTATCTCAAGGTCGAGATAATATGATTTAGGGCTTTTTTTTGACATCGAAACAACTTCTTCTAGTGAACGTTTTGAGATGCGTCCTAATTTGATTGTTTAAAGCTTCTACCTTTAAACTTTTTCCTAAATTATATATCAAATTTTATCTACAATCTTTTATCTCCGTCGTGAGAGTTACGGTTATTACCATGATAAATTTCTCTCACTCCCTCTATCGAAAAACCCCTCTCCAACTGAAATTTAATAATAAGTACTGAACTCTGTCCAATGTTTAGCATTCAACTAGTCGACCACTCTTTCTAAACCCTGCAAATTTATAACTATGTCCCCTCTTTCTCTCACTAAAATTTAACATAGATGGAGAGGCGCCCATCTTTCTCTCTCTAAATATAACCGCTGGATTGAAATTGGATATACTTCTTGGCCGCTCCACTCACCTGGCATCAATGTTTTAAAAATCGGATCGGTGCGGCTCAACGTTCACCACCCTTGCCCATCCAAATTGGCTGGATCAGCCATCTGAATCGGTTGGGATTGATTTGAATCGATGATCTAAAAAATATTAAAAAGTAAATAAAATTAAATATAAATTAATGACATTGTTTCTATGACTCCATAAAGAAATGAGTTACCTCTTAAAAATATGCTTTTGAGATGGATTTTTTTACCTAATTTTGAATGGCATGTAATCTCTAAGATGGAGATCATGAATATAAAAAAATAAATAAAATTAAAAATAATAATTATATTAAAAAAACATTTGGATCGTTGGTTTCAATTATTTTTAGATGGATCACCTATTTGTAACTTATACCTCAGGGACCGCAAATGTAGAAATGCAGTCCCAAACCATAAAAATAATTTTCTACAAATTAAAATAGAGGTCTATAAGGTGGTGATTTAGAAGAGATTTAAGAAAACATTAGATAAACACAATGGAAAAAATATGAAATGGAGGTTTAAGGGGACCTAGCATGGATCCATACCATTTTGGAACCAATTTAGTCCTATTCGATTCCGCATCTAAATAGGCGCACTAAGATCGGAAAGTGCCGGATTTTAAAACACTACCTAGCATGAAAAAAAAACTCTGACTAAAGCTTTTAATTAATTAATATGTATGGTTTTTAATAAGGTTGCAACTTTAAACAATCCAATTAAAGTATACCTCCAAATTTTACCATAACATAGTAATTTTGGTGTAAAAATTTTTTAAAATTATTTGAAAATCTATTATCATATCTAATTATAAAATTTTAAACTCCAAAACTATTTAATATAAACATATGAAAATCATGAAAATTGACTATCTAGATAATGTGTTACAAGATGCACTAATTCTAAGTCTCAATTTCTTTTTTTCCTTTTTTTTTTTCAATATTAAAACAAGTGTTTTTCTATGGGGTTTTGAGGTATATCTTTAGTTTTACATTTTTAAGGTTGGACCTTATATAAATTATTTATTTATTTATTTAATTAATTTGAGGAATGGCCCTTATTTTAGTGGTGAAATTCGGTCAACCCCGTCCCACCCCCACCTGACTCATCTTCCCTCTTCCCAATACACGCCCCCACCATTTCCCTACTTTCTCTCTCTACATTTCCCTACTCTTTCTCTCTCTACATTTCCCATCTCTCTGGTTCTTCTATATATAACGAACAACCCCACCTTCATCTCTCCCCCCTGACCTGCACTCGAACCATGGATACCTCCTCCTCCTTCCCTCCCGACTCCGACCTCGACTTCAGCTTCACCTCAGTCTCCACCGACGCCACCACCTCCACCTCCTCCGCTCGCACAAGCCTCAGCCTCTCCGACTTTCAACCTCTCTCTTCCTCCTCCTCCCATACCCGCCCCCTCCCCCTCCCCCACCGCTCCTCCGACCCGGCATGGGCTCCCATCCAGACCCTGAGCCCCTTGAGCCCTCCCCTCTCTTTCTCTAACCTCCACATTGTTCGCCACCTCGGCTCTGGTGATTCCGGTCGTGTTTACCAGTGCAGGCTCGAGGGATTTGATTATGCGCTCAAGGTAGTCGACAGAGACGCGCCTTCGGTTAAGGAGAAGGCGAGAGCTAAGGGAGGAGGCGGCGGCGGCGGCTGGGAAGAGGCGGAGGTGTTGGGGGAGCTGGATCATCCATTTCTGCCAACTTTGTATGGTCGGATTGAGGCCGGGAGGCATTCGTGCGTGCTGATCGATTACTGTCCAGGCGGGGATCTCCACAGGCTCCGGGCCAGACAGCCGGGCGGTCGGTTCGGGATCAATGCTGTGAGGTGGGTGGCTACTTTCTCTCTCATGTTCCCTTTCTCTCTCTTCAGAAACATGGTGCAGTAGCTGAAAAACATGGTGCATTTTCTCTGTTTTCAGATTCTATGCAGCTGAAGTACTTGTGGCCTTGGAGTACCTCCATGCATTAGGTATCGTGTATCGTGATCTGAAGCCGGAAAATGTCCTCTTAAGAGAAAACGGCCATATCATGCTCTCCGACTTCGACCTCAGCTTCAAATCCAATGTCACCCCGAAGCTCCATTTCCGGACAAATTCCGGCGGAACAAACTTAGAGGATTTCACCCCGGCTTGTTGCTTCTCACACCCCCAGTCATCCATCGACTGGCTCCCACAATTCATGGCCGAGCCTGAAGGGGCCCACTCCAGGTCGTATGTCGGGACCCACGAGTACTTGGCGCCGGAAATTATCTCCGGCGAAGGTCATGGTGCCGGTGTCGATTGGTGGGCCCTGGGGGTATTCATATATGAGCTTTTATATGGCCGTACCCCCTTTAAGGGGCCCACCAAGAAGGCCACACTGAAAAACATTTTATCGAAGCCGCTGAGGTGGCCGGAATCAGGCGAAGATCACGTTTCCGGTGAGATTTTGGCTGTGATGGACCTTATAAAAAGATTATTGACCAAAGATCCTAGAAGAAGACTGGGATTTGAGAAGGGTGCTTGTGAAATTAAGGAACATCCATTTTTCAGGTCAATTCGATGGCCTTTGATTCGATCGATTCCGCCGCCTCGGGTGCATCTGCTTCGGCCGCACAGGACAGCGTCGGCGCCTGCCGGAAATTCGATGAGGATGGCCGGAAAACTCACTGGAAAACGGAGATCCTGGTCGGGTAGTAATTTGTTGGGGTCTCATTCTTTAAGGAGAGCTAGCCTCTTTTCTAAGTGGTTCTCATGGTGGTGAATTAGTGAAACACTATGGTAGATGCTACGTAGTTGGGGTATCGACCGTCGTTCTCGGTGATGGATGGTATGGATCAGCTTTAAATCTCAATCTTGATGATGTACACCCACCTTGAGAATGGAAAATCCACACCGTTTATTATTGACAACCAATGGTATATGCTCGATAGCGTGCTGAACATCATACACGGGTGGTGTGTATTATACTTTCCGCCAAAATTGATTTGGAGTGGTTCCCACCAAGAGGACAGGGATCAAATGCTAGATATGGACGGATGGGATTTATTCTCGCACCATGACATGGATGCAAGGAAGGAGATCTTGTACCATGAAATGGACGGTTCAGATTCAATTGTCTAGATCGTGGGGCATTGGAGGGCTTTAGTGCACTGTGCATCACATGTGCTTGCGGATCATATGTAGAGTTTCTTTTTCTTTTCTTTTTTTTCCTTTTATTTTTTATTTTTTCCTGTTTTTGTTATTGTGACTTTTATTGTCATTCACCGGATTATGTATATTGAGAGGGGATTAGGTTTTTTGTAAAACTTAAAATAGAAAATGGTATTTACCTCTGTTTTAGTTTTCTTATTGGATTCATGTGCTTTTTTAGTTAAATTTGATTTTAAATTTTCAAATCATTTTAAATTTGGGAAAGATTAATGGTTTTTCAAGGCCGTCATCAACAAGTCTCTTGCCCAAAAAACATTTTTTTGATGTGAAAAGTTTCTGATTTTTTTGAGGTAAATATAATTTTTTTTTTATCATGTTTACTCATATGTAAGATGAATAGGAACAAATAAAAAGAAAAAGAAAAAGAAATTGGTTTATTGCTCAAAAAACATTTAAGCCAAATCTCCCCAAAAAAAACTGTCCATAGAGGGATCGCAGTCATTTGGAGTTTCAAGTGCTAAAATTTAGAGCAATTTATCCGTTTATCCCATTATTACGATGATAATATTTATAAGGCTTGTTTACAATGAGATCATTTACAGAGGTCACAATTACTTACAACTATACAATGTGAAATTTAATAACTTGGGTGTATCAAAAAGTTGGAAAAATTTTTATTTGAACTTTGAGTTTGGTCAATGAAATAAAGGTAGCCACTCAATTTTACATCTAATGGTCAAAATTGATTGTAACTGTGCACCAAAAATAAATAGTCTAATTATATACTTTCCTATATATATAATATGTGCATATCCCTTTTGTTGTTGATTTTCACTCCAATTTCATCCTCACTTCAAAGATTGGAAATCCGAAGTCACCACAACAATTGATGACTTCGGATTTTCAATGTCATCTTTTCTTTTCTTTTCTTTTTTTCATTAAGTCCTTTTCAGGGAAACAAAAAGTCAATTTCGTATATTCAGAACGTTCAGATTTTCAAAATCTAAAACAACTTGAGTTTTTTCCTTAAAAGTACCTTAAAAACATAACATAACTACACACATTGAAAAATTGAAGTCTTTTGTGCCTTTGAATTTTCAATCTCCATAAGGTAAAATTGGAATAAAAAATGTCAGACAAAAGGGATATGCACGTAATATAAAAAATCAAGGAGAATTTTAGTAATGGCATTATTTATATAAACGATGAAACTTTTATAAGGCATAGGCTTCATGAAAAACAAAATAAATCCTCGCCTTAAATCTTTGTCTAGATAGCACTTTTGACAACAAAAAACTCCATAATGGATCTGAAACAAATTTCCAACATTGACAATAAATTTGAAACTAAAAAGTGTACAGATTTTACGAATTTGTGAACATTTATTTTTAGAGCAAAATAGACATTTTAGATAATTTGTTACAATATACACTATTTTTATAGTTTAAAATCTTACTTCTTTTTGTTTTTTTACAACCATAGTATTCAAGCCAAGATGATCGATATAAATGTTTTTAAAATATTTAAATTACAATTTTTTATGAGTTATAAGGTGACATTTTACTTATTTTGATAAACCTAAAACCCTATCAAACCATTTTTCTTATGTAAAATATGTAGGTAATATCTAAAATTTATTTATTTATATTTTTTCCAATATTGTTCACAAGGTTAAACAAAGATGATCTAAAAATTCTCAAAGTGAAGATTTTCCAACCTATTAGTCTCGGTGTGAGACCATGTGCTATGGAGGTCAGATGGGACCACCACAGCGGTCTGTGTCACGAGGGCTTTTTCACCACCTAGCCGCCGCCTTGACGCCCAAGCATGCAATACTTGGATACTAGGTTTAGCCTGTCTCATTGCCATATAGTAGAAGAGCATACTCATAAGGGTAAAGTGCTGACAATGCTCTTGGCCTGTGGGCGCGTATCGCCATCTCTCGTACATGTACCACTACCTCGGTCATGCATCATGTCTTATGCCCTGTCGATTGTGTGCCACCGGTCAGCCCATGGTCTCCTATGGGATTCAAGATGGTCAAGTCCTCAGCTTCTTAGTCCGGTCTCATTCGGATTGGCGATAATGAATATGAAGTTTAGAAAGCAGCAAGTATTATGGATCCTCTTACTCCCAATTGGCTTGGTTGCCCTCTCGGGTCTCACCCGTCTTGCATGTAGGTCTTGATGTGCCTTGAGATAGCCGTCTATTGTCATCTGAATAGAAAATCATATATACTGGTCTCATTTTATTTGATTGTCAAGTTCAAATTAAAAATAAATTTTTTCAAACTTTATGACACACTCATGCTATCAAGTTTCATATTGGATGATATAAGTAATTGTGTAATTGTAACCTTCTTGTATTATTACTTACCAAAAAAATGGATGTGATTTGTATAGAGCTGAGGCTCTAAACAATCAAAATAAAGTGCAACTTCAAATAGGGTCGAGAAATGTGGTTCCAGTACTATAAATCTTTTTGATAGCCTCAAAATATATTTTATTTTTAATTATAAAATTTAAAGCTTAAAAAGTAGTGTGGATCGAGCATATGAAAACTTGATAATCTTGAAAATTGAGAGTTCAAAATGCTTATCAAATGCACTATTTCTAAAACTTAAAATTCATTTTTTTCTCATGTCTACGTATCTTGATGTCGAGATGATCAATTTGATGATATTTGAGCATCAAGACAACATCTTATAGTGAAATTGTTTAGATGAGCTTCAATTTGATTGTTTAAAGCCTCGACACTATAAAATGTTTTTTTTTTTTAAAAAAAAAGCCTCCTTGTATGCAAGGTACATGGTTTCAATATATGCATGGGAAAATTTCTGACATAAAATATTACAAGTCGTTTTTAAAGCAGCATTTCGGTATCAACAGTACGCTGCTAACTCTAACCGTTGGTTGTTGACATCGGATGGTTTCTAAGACCGATAGATGCTGTCTGGAGGTAGATACTACAAAAGTTTCTTCTCCATGCCGATATATTTTTCCGGATTTTCGTAAAGTAGCAAACTGCTCTTCTCCCGTTTCCTAGAGAGAGAGAGAAGAGAGAGAAAGAGAGAGGGGTGAGGTGGGTTACTCTTGGGTTCGGAAATCCAGCGAAAGCGAGAAGAGGTTTAAGGTACAATGCACGGCCGTCCTCGCAAGCCCCTGAAAGCAGAGGATGATGCGAAATCCATTGCCAAGGCTTCCAAGCTTCGTTCTCTCCAAAACCAGTTTTTGAACTATCACCGCAATCAAATGTCAGCGCTCCTTTCCTTTTTAATATCTCTCTCTCTCTC